AAAATAGCCAGGCATTGTGGTGGGTGCCTGTAGTCCCAGCTACGTGGGAGGCTGAGGCAAGAGAATGACTTAAGCCCAAGAGTTTGAGGTTCCTTTGAGCTGTGACACCATGGCACTCTATCAAGTGTGACATAGTGAGACTCCGTCTCAAAAAAAAAAAAGAAAGAAAATTATGAAACCCTAAGAAAAGAAATAGCAGAAGATATTAACAAATGGAAAAACATACCATGCTCATGGGTGGGAAGAATCAACATTACTAAAATGTCTATACTTCCCAAAGAAATCTACAGATTCAATGCCATCCCAATTAAAATACCAACATCATACTTTGAAGACTTAAAAAAAATAATTCTTCATTTTGTATGGAACAGAAAAAACTTTGTATAGCTAAAGTAATTCTTAGTAATAAAAACAGAGCTGGGGGCATCAGCCTACCAGACTGTAGGCTGTACTACAAGGCCATAGTTTTCAAAACAGCATGGTATTGGCACAAAAATACAGACACAGACATCTGGAACCAAATAGAAAACCATGAGATAAAACTAACATCTTAAAGCCACCTAATCTTTGATAAACCAAGTAAGAACATACACTGGGGGAAAGAACCCCTGTTCAATAAATGGCGCTGGGAGAACTAGATAACCACATGTAAAAGATTGAACCTGAACCCTCACCTTTCTCTACTTGCAAAAATTAATTCAACATGGGCAGCACCTGTGGCTCAAAAGGGTAGGGCACCTGCCCCATATGCCGGAGGTGACGGCTTCAAACCCAGCCCCAGCAAAAAAAAAAAAAAAAAATTCAACATGGATAAAAGCTCTAAATCATGAAACAATAAAAATCTTTGAAGAAACTGTGGGGAAAACACTTGACGGTATTGGTCTGGGGAAAGACTTTATGAAGAAGATTTCTACGGCAATTGCAACAACAACAAAAATAAACAAACTGGACTTAATTAAACTGAATAGTTTCTGTACAGCTAAGGAGACAACAACCAAAGCAAATAGACTACTGTCAGAATGGGAAAATATATTTGTATATTATGAATCAGAGAAAAGCTTGATAACTAGGATCTACAGAGAACTCAGATTAATCACCAAAAAAGAGCTAACGATCCCTTATATCACTGGACAAGAGAGATGAATAGAATCATCTCTAAAGAAGAGAAATGAATGGCTAACAAACCATGAAAAAGTGCTCATCATTCCTAATTATCAGAGAAATGCAAATCAAAACCACTCTGAGATATCACCTAGTCCCAGTGAGAATGGCCCACATCACAAAGTCTCAAAGCTGCAGATGCTGGCATGGATGTGGAGAGAAGGAAACACTTTTATACTGCTAGTGGGACTGCAAACTAATACAACTGTAATAACTGAGCCCCCAGCCCCAAACCCCCAGGACTAGTAAGAAAGGCAACAAACTTCTTGTAAAAAGAATTACTTTTAGCTTTAGCCCCACTATAAGGGAGGGGAAGTTCTAGGAAGAAGCTTAAAGGGACAAAAGGAAGGAAGGGAGGGCTTGGATTCCAAATTAAGCCCCGGTGTTACCCAATTTGTACCCCTGAACTATGAGTTAATGTCTAAGTTGCCATGTACTTCCATCCTGAATTGTGTAAACCCTTATGACATACCCCATCTTATAACCATGAGGTAATGTACTCATGATATATCTTGTGATTATGATCTTATGTGTACCCCCACCTTGCGACCCCCTGCTTTAACCTCTATGATTGGCTTCTGTAATGCGTTAGCTTGCTGAGCATGATATAAAAGAGCCCTTCACCTGCTGCACGCCTTTTTGGTGGCTCAGCCCGTCTGCAGGTGTTCCAAATTATTAATAAATTTCTATTGCTTAATTAGACCTGAAGTGGGGTCCATCCTTCTCTCGCATTTGCTGTCCCTCTTCACAACCTTTTTGAAAGGAAATAGGGAGAATCCTCAAAGAATTCAAATTAGACCTCCTATTTGGTCCTGCAATCCCATTACTAGGCATCTACCTAGAAGAAAAAAAATCATTTTAACATAAGGACATTTGTACGAGACTGTTTATCGCAGCTAAATTTACAATACTCCTTTCCCCCACTCTCTCCACCACCCACCCTCTGCCAAACTTAAAATGTAAGGAGGAACTTTAGGCTAAACTTGTTTTAACACCCTCAAAATCGCCACAATTCCCTTATCTCCCCTTCCTCTATAAAGAGGGGTATATAAGCATCGGGAGCTCATTGGGTTATTGTACAGTCATTTTCCTATGAATCCCCTGTGTGCATGCA